GTCACACGCAAGATGCTCTTGGGCCTTGCTCCTGCTGACCTCACGTTTGCCAAGGTCTCATCCGCGCTCCTTTCTACCGAAAAGGACAACAGCGCTCAAGCCAAGGCCAATGCAATCCGCGCTTCCGTGCCTCAAGCCTATGCCGCTTCGGCGCCATTCCAGCGCAACCGCTTCCCGTGGTGTCCCTACGTCATCATGCGCGGCCCTCGTGCCAGCCAGATGTGAGGCGGCACCAACCACGCCCTTGCGTCTTGCTTCAAGAAGAAGGATGACGAGTTGTATGCCGTCAATGGGACCACCTCAAAGCCGCCAAGCTGGATGGTCAATCGTGCTCCTCGCAAGGTCAATCAAGTCAAAGCGCAGGAATCTGTGCAGGCTGCTGTAGCTCCCCCTGCTGCTGTGTGCCTCAACATGTTGTTCCTTGGCACTGCCATGATTAATGAGACAATTTCGCAGTGTCCCGGCTCACAAAGCACCTCAGCCACAATAGAGTTCACCCTTGACAGTGGGGCCACTCACATGGTTCTCAAGGAAGAACACTCCTTCAAGCCATACGAGACACCAATCCATCTACTAGGAGCAGACTCCAGTTTCACAACACACGCCAAGGGCTCCTCCACAGTTCCGTGCCCAACTTTTCCTTCAGGCAGTGCCACCGGCATGTGTGTTCCCACACTACGCCACAATCTCGTGGCCCAACACGAGCTCCAACGGGCAGGGGTCACCACGATCTTCCCAGCACACTTTGATCACTGTGACCTCCTTGACCCTAAGTCCAACAAGCTCCTAGCACGCTTCACACTCAACAGCAGCAAGCTCTACACGCTGCGTTCACCTGCACCTCTCGCCGCTCTCTCCCAAGCGCAAGCTTCCAACACCACTCCGTGTTCCTGTCGCAGCTTTGCCAACCCAACCATCCTCTTCCATCATCGCTTGGGTCACCCCAACTTCCGTATGTGTGTTCCCTCCCTCCAGGATATCAAAACTCTTCCGTTTTTCCTTTCCACTCATCTTCAGCTCTCCTCCTCCTCTATCACTTACCCCATTACTCCCCAGGAGCTGCAGCAGTTCCGCCGCTTCCAGCAGCAGCAGCAGCAGCAGTGGGGCTCTAGTGGTCAGGCTGCAGCCCCAGCCGCAGGAGCCGTAGCTGCAGCAGCCGCATGATAGCAGCAGCAGCATGGCTTTGGCCCCGCCGCCATGGCTGCCACAGCCACCCGAGGTCCTCTTGGCTTTCCCTTCTGGGGCTTTCCTTCCCCTAGTGCTCCCGCCTCCCACTCCAGCTTTATAGGCGAGGTCACACGCTCTTCCACCGCTGCCACTTCCATGTATCACTCTGTTTTTAATGCCATTGATTTCCAGTACCCCGTGTCTTCCACTCCCTCTTCGCTCACGATTGACTTTGTTCTCGATAGTGGTGCCACTGAAACCACCCTCAAAGACGCCAGCACCCTCATCTCCCTTCCTTTCCCCACCAACGTCCATGGTGCTGATTCTAGCTTCTCCGTCCCTTGCACTCATCTCTCCACCCTCCCCTGCTCCCCCTTCCCCTCCGGAGTTGTCACCGGTCTCCATATTCCCTCACTTCGTCATAACCTCCTCTCCATCTGTGAACTGCAACAGGCTGGCATTACTACCATCCTCCCTGCCTCTGCCACCTACTGTGTGACCTTCTCCATGGCCCCACTAGCCGCATCCTTCATCGCCTCCCACTTTGCCCTTGCTCTCGTCAATACATCCTCAGCACACCCCGCCCCTCCTCGTGCCATGTCACCACTCGTGCAGGCACCTCCACTCTCCCCCCTCCCCTCCCTCTTGAGCCACCTTCCCCCATCTCCACCCCTCCCCATGCTCTTCTCACGCACTGTCCCACCCCGCTGTGCTCATCCACCATTGTCTTGATCTCATGAACTTTCCCACACTTCGCAAAGCCATCTCCTCCCGCTTGCTTGACGGTCTTCCCCCCACTCTTCCTCCTCTTCCGTCCTCTCCCGCTCCCCCATGCGCCACATGCATTCATGGCAAGCTTAAACAACAGCATAACCTCAGTCATCCCTCCTTTGTTGCTACCCCGCTTGATCTCATCCACATGGACCTATGGGGCCCTAACCCTTCCCCTTCCCGCCAAGGGCACCGGTATAGGCTTGTCCTAGTCGACGACCATAGCAGGTACTCCTCGGTGTTCCTTTTCTACACGAAGGCCGAGGCCTCTGCTGTCATCGTTGCCTGGGCCGAGTAGTGCCGTGTCCACTTTGGTCACCCCATCCACCGCCTCCTTTCCGACGGCGGTGGTGAGTTTCTCAACCGCACCCTCTCCTCCTACTGCTCAACCCATGGCATCCAGCAGACTCACACCCTTCCCCACTCCCCTCAGCAGAATGGTGTTAGTGAGAGCCGCATTCGTGAGATCACTAAGACGGTCCGCTGTCTTCTCACTCATGCCTCCACGCCCCCTTCCCTCTGGGGCTATGCCCTTGTTCATGTTGCTCTCCTCACTAATCTTTACCCACATTCTCAACGTCAGTCCGTCACTCCCACAGAGCTCTGTGCCACCACCAAGTCGGACACTACAATTCTCCGCGTCTGGGGTTGAAAAGCATATGTCCTCATCCCCCCTCTCGACCGCTCTAGGCAGGCAGGGAAGCTCGCCCTTGAGTGTGTCTACATTGGGCATGCTCGCTCTTCCCCTAGTGATCTCTTTCTTCACCCGTCCTCAGGCCGTCTCTTCAAGAGCCGTGACGTGGTGTTCGATGAGAGCATCCCATTCTATCATTCCCCTCCGCCCTCTGACCCGCTTCCTCCCCTCCCGTCCCTTCACTTGGGCTGATGCTGTAATTCCCCCACTCCTTCCCCAAGCTCCCCTCCTTCCTCCGCCTTTTGCTCCACCCTCTCCTCCATCCTCTGGTGGCATCTATGACCCAGCTGTCCCTGACTCCCCATCTCAATCTGCCTCCTCGCATCAGCAGCAGCCGTAGCAGCAGCAGCAGCAGGAGGTGCAGCCGCAGCAGTGGCCAAAGCAGCATCACCAGAAGGAGCAGCAGCAGCAGCAGGAGATGCAGCAGCAGCAGCGGCCTGAGCAGCATCAATAGTGGCAGCATCACCAGGAACTGCAGCAGCCGCAGCAGCAGGAGATGCAGCATCAGCAGCAGCCAGAGGTGCAGCAGCAGCAGCAGCAGCAGGTTCAGCAGCCGCCGCAGCAGCAGCCTCATCGGCATCACCTTATCAGTTCTCCTTTCATCCTCCCACGAGTCCACACTCATGGCCCACTCCTCAGCCATCCATGGGGTTGGCCAGTGCCACATCCACCCTCCCTTCCCTTCATTGAGGACTCACATGAGGAGATCCTTAGCGTCGAGCAGCAAACACATTTCCTTATGCCTCTCTACCAGAACTTCCCCGGCCTCTTCATCCTCGGCATTGCCACCGCTCCCACCATATTCACCCCGTCCAGCTCCCTTGAGGCCATCACCTGCCCAGATGCTGCCAAGTGGATCCAGGCCATCTTTGCTGAATGCGAAGCCTTCATCTGCAATGCCTCCTTTGTTGACACCGTCCCGTCTCCAGACGATGCCATTGTCAAAGGTTTGTGGGTGTTCCGCATCAAGCAGCTATCGGGCAAGGAACCGGTCTACAAGGCCCGGTATTGTGCCAAGAGTTTTACCCAGACCCATGGCATCGACTACTGGGAGACATTCTCCCCCAGTGCCAAGCTCCCCACTCTCCGTGCCCTCCTCGACTATGCCGTCCGCATTGGCATGGAGATTGCCTCCATGGATGTCTCCAACGCCTTCCTGCAAGGCGAGCTCTAGGAGCGGGTCCACCTGTGGCGGCCTCAAGGCTTTCAAGCAGCCTTTCCTTCCAACACAGTCTGGGAGCTGCGCTGCCCAGTCTCTGGCTTCAAGCAGGCCCCTCGCGAGTGGCATAACAAGCTGGCTGCCACTCTACAGTCCCTCGGGTTCCACGCCTCTCAGTCCGATGCCAGCCTTTTCCTTCGCTCCTCTCTCACCCGCGTCTTCATCTTTGTGTATATCGACGACATGATCCTGTTTGCTGACGACGTTGCCGCCATGCAGCAGATGAAGGATGCCCTGTACGCACGCCTCAAGTGCAAGGACCTGGGTGAGCTCAAGCACTCTCTGGGCATGACCATCACCCGTAACCGCGCATCGCGCACCATTACCCTCTCTCAGTCCTTCTACATTGACCAAGTCTTGCAGCGGTTTTACATGGTGCAGGCCAAGCCGGTTACCACTCCCCTGCAGACCGACCACCAGCTTGCCCCTCCTCCTGCTCCCTCCTCCTCTGACCACCCTTATACTGAGCTCGTCAGTTCGCTAATGTACGCTATGATGTGCACCCGCCCCGACCTTGCCTACCCAATCAGCGTTCTTGCTCGCTTCGTTGGTACCGGTCGCCATACTGATGAGCACTAGGCCGCAGCGAAGCAGGTCCTCTGCTACCTCCGTGGTACCAAGAACTATGTGTTAGAAATAGATTGCAAATCCTACTTTTGTATTTGTACTTTTCTAGAGCCTAGGGCTCCTTACCTAATCAAGTATTTTCTGCTCTATTTCTTACATGGTATCAGAGCGACCTATCCGCACACGCGGATCAAGGTCCTAATCTTAACATGCCCGCGCTACGCGCACTTCATCGTCGCGACATTCACCTCGAGTCGTCAGAAATTTCGACGTGCTCCACTCTGCCGTCGCGCCTCTCCTCGTCGACCGCCTTCGCGCTCGACCTCTTTGAATTTCTCATCTCTGAAGCTTTCACGCTTCTCATCGTCGATTTTCTCCTCGGTTCTCCTTGGTCGAATCTCAATTTCGACCATCTCTTAAAACTCGTTTTCGAGTTTCCTCTCGGACCCCGCCAGCATAGGCGAACTCCCCTCGTGAAATCGCATCCACGAACGTCTCACGTCAAGCAAGAGCAGGTACACAGGTGGAAGCGGAGCGGAGCTGGTTGCGGAGCTGGTTGCGGAGCTGGTTGCGGAGCTGTGT